TTCATGGCAGGTCTAGTAGAGGTTGGCCATGTCCAGCAGAAGGGGAGCCTGCAGGGCTCTTGGGGTGCTGCTGTCCCTCGGAACCCTCCGTGACCAAACGGCTTCAGGAGCAAAACATCTTCACCTGGAATCACAGGAGCTTGGTGTTAGGTCACCTCCTCTTCCCCCTGTGCACACACGTGTGGGCATTCCACAGGCACTGCAGATGGGAAGATCCATGTTCCCAGCCACGGGAACGCCCACCTCCTGATGTCTTTTGTTCTTCTCTCCCTTCACCCTCCTTGAGTAACACGTTAAACTTTTTCCAAAGTAACATTTCTGCAACTACTAAGAGCCAGTGTTACCTGTTGGATGCATTTTCTCCTGAGAGGCTGTGGCAGGTGTCTCTCTGTAGCAATAAACACCTCACCTTTTCCCTTCTGCTCTCTGGATCACTTCTAAGCCCCTTTTCTCCTGTTCTCCCTGGTCTGTTCTCACCTGTTCTTGATACTTGCTTACATGGAATTCCCTTCCACAGCTTCTCAGGGAAACAAAGGATCTCTTCTGCTATTTTTCCATCCCCTCTGCTACCAGCACTGGTGAGAACAACCCTAAGCAACCCAACCTGAACCCCCAGACTGGTCAGTGAGGCTGGGGAAGAGCAGCTGCTGCTCCTAGCACCACGGAGCCCCTGCAGGGAGGACACAGATGCTGATTCTCCTCAGCCTGGGTCAGTCACTGCATTTTCACTTTTCTACTGGGGGGCACATTCTGCCTCTCTGCATTAGCAATTTTTCTACAGCAATGAGCAATTTTTAGTGTGAGGTTTTGGCTTTTTGTTGTGTTTTTTTTTAATTTTACACTCTCACCCATTGATAATGGAAGCTCAAGCTGTTTCCTGTTCAACAAAATGTTCCTCCTGTGGCTCTGCTGGCTTTCATGTTGATGAAAATCTACACAAATCTCTCTCAGCAGGTTGTTCTTGAGTTGTGTTTGTACTGCTGAAGTTCTGCATCTCCATGTAGTTCTACCACCACCCAAATGATGGTCACCTGCAACACAGCCCCTCAGACAAGATCTCTTTCACTGAACTGAGCTGCCTGAGAAACTCTTCTTAAAATAGCATCAAACCTCCGAGCTCTTTCTCACTCCAGGGTTGCTTCAGAGGGAGGAACTTCCTGCCTGCAGCCCAAGCTGGGTGCCAGTTGTGGGCAGGATGTGCAAGAGGAGGGAACCAACCGGCCCCGCGCGCAGCGGCGCCCGCAGCCACCGCAGCCCCCAGGGCAGGAACCAGCCGGGTGGGCAGGGGGATGGCTCCCGGAAAATGTGTCACTCCCAGGTGTGGAAATGGCCGTTAGGAAGATCATGCAGTTTTGTCTGGGCTGAATCTGGCAGGGCAGAGCAGAACCACCCAGGGTGGAGGTGCTGGGGTGCCCCTGGGTACTGCGGGGGAGGTGACGCTGCTCCCGGCACTGGGAGCAGGGAATGTCAGGGAATGTGTCCCCCCCCCACCCCCTCAGCTGGCTGCCCAGAAAGAGAAGTGTTCTCTACCTCCTGCTTCAGAGCTGCACACACATTCCAGGGGTCTCTGCTGCTTTGGCCAGGAGGGGGTTGGTTCCTTCCCTCTGAACAGGCTCAGCCATCGGGGCCAGGATCAGCTACCTAGGAGGAAAGAGTTGGAATGTTGGTGTCTGGGATGGGGAGGCACAAACTGTCACCTCCAGAGCAGAAACACAGACACAGAGGAGTTAGAAGATGCTCATCTCTGTAACTGATTGTTGTAAAATGTCATCAGCTTTCCTTCACAACCCTGAGGGTCTGGCAAGAAGGTCTCTACAGATCCAGACCCCAGAGCACCTCCCAGTGTCTGAAGGGTCTGCAGGAAAACTGGGGAGGGACTTTGGGCACAGGCAGGGAATGAGAGGACAAGGGGGAATCGATCAAAGCTGGAAGAGGGCAGATTGAGGTCGAGGGGGGCACGGAGCTGGAAAAAGACACAATCCACCTGGAGTGACTTTGGTCCTTGGCAGGTGTGTCAGGTTTGATGCACAAGCAGCTGAGCTGCTCAAGCCTCAGGATCAGCTTCTCCCACCTCACTTACAGATTTTAGAAACATTTTGTAAAGTTTCCATTTCCCAGGGGAAAAGCTGCTGCCCCTTCCCATCGGATCTAACGACACACACCACTCCCAGAGCAAGACTTTCCTCTCTTTTCACCCTCGGTTTCCCTGACATGACACCAGGCGGGATTTTAACGGCCCAAACCCCTTTCCCTGCACCACCGGGAAAGCCTCAAACACCAACATGGCTCCGGGCTGATGCACTGATGTACAAACCCCGCTCTTTTCTCACCCCAAAGCGGCAGGACAGAATGTGGCCGTGCTGGTTACAACCGGACAAGCGGCGGAGCTGCCGCCTGCACCGGGAGGGCAACGAACCCCCCCGGCCCGTTACCATGGAGCG